CCTCCCCTCCCCTCCCCCAGCCCCCACCCTCACCCCTCACGTTGGCGACTTTGACACCACCACTCGTGAGCGAGACCGGGGTTTGCAGAGATGAACGGCTGCGTCCAGCCAGTGCTGTGGACCCCACCTGGGCACTAGCAAGACCAGGGGCCCAGGAGGAGGAAACCCCCTCCCGCAAGACCCCAGCCCCTCCACTTCTTGTGCCCGACTGGGCCCTTCCTGTCCTGCCCCGGGGGGGGGGGGGGTGCACGGCCGGGCCGGGGCAGCGCTGGGCGGTGTGTCCCCCAGGCCGAGGAGTGGATCACGGAGCGAGTGCAGCGGCTGGGCGAATGGCGTCCCCCGGAGCACCTCAGAGCTCATGGCACGCACTGGCGGCGACACCAGGCCTTCAAGGCTGAGGTGGAGGCGCACGCGCAAATCCTCACCTCTGTGGTCCAGGTAATCCCTGTCCCCCGCCGCGCCCCCCGCTTGGCCTGCAATCTGTGCGGGCTTGAGGATGGCCCGGGAGGGATGGACGAGGCTCCGGCCGGCTTCCAGCAGGGTGAGGCCCTCCTGGCGCTGCGCGAGCCTCCAGGCGACCCGAGCCGGCAGCTGCAGGCCCTGCGGCAGCTCTGGGAGAAGCTGGGGCAGGCAGTGGCCCACAGGGACCAGCAGCTGGAAGACAAGTGGAAGTTTCTAGAGTTCCTGCACCAAGTAGAGCTTGCAGAGGCCTGGATCCAGGAGAAGGTGGGGGTCTGGCTGGGCGGGGGGCAGGGAGATGGGGAAGGAAGCTGCACCCTGGCCAGCGCTCCGAGCAACCCTCTCCTTTCCTGGGCCTGCACAGGAGGTGATGGTGAACGTCCGAGACCTGGGCCGGGACCCCGAGCACTGTCTGCAGCTCTGCAGGCGGCTCCATCAACTCCAGAAGGCCGTGGCGGCCAGGGTGAGGAGCCCTCGGGAAATCCACTCAGCGGCCACGTGCTCACTGCAGAGCAGGACGGGCCCAGCCGCTTTACCGCCCACAGCTTAGGCTGCCAGAGCCCTGATTTCTGTGCTCTGCTATGGGAATGGCGCCTTGCTCCGAGCTCAGGGCAGGTGCGTGCTGGTCTGCGTGGCTGCGGGGAAGCTCCGGAGACGCCCAGCCTGTCTGCTGGGCTGGCTTCACTGTCGCGCTTGGCTATGGTAGATGTCGCTGTGCGTGCAGGCTTCTGCACTACTTTTGCAGTTTCCTGTGCGTCTATTTAAAAGATTCTTAGAAAGCTGCTTCTTGCTGGGTGCCAGTGGCTCACACCTGTAATCCTATCTACTCAGAAGGCTGAGATCTGAGGATCGCAGTTCAAAGCCAGCCTGGGCTGGAAAGTCCGAGAGACTCTTATCTCCAATAAACCACCAGAAAACCGGAAGTGGTGCTGTGGCTCAAGTGGTAGAGCGCTAGCCTTGAACTGAAGAGCACAGGGACAGCGCCCAGGCCCAGAGTCCACAAGGCATAAATTCCCATGTCTCATTTTGGTACAGAGAACAGAAATTTGGGGACCATATGTGGCCAGGTGATAAGTGTGGGTGATTTGGGTGAAAGGCTTCCATGCTAAATTCAGCCTCCATCCCGGCTCGCAGAGGGTTCACAGCTGCTCCAGCAGGGGGGGCTGAGACCTGGCCTGGCCACGGCCCTCACGTGCACCCTTTCCCCGCAGCGCACAGCGGGCCACGCGTACACAAGGCGCATCGAGGACTTGTCGCTGCAGCTCCAGAACCGGGACCCCGAGGAAGTGAGGATCGTGTGCCAGAGGCAGCGGCAGCTCAGCGACAGGCCAGTCCCCGACCGGGCAGGGCAGTGGGGCCGGGAGAGGCAGAGCCCCCCGCCCCCCCAACTCCGAGGTTCACAGCCACCCTTCTGGGGCTAGGTGGACCAGTTTCCATGGTGACCTGCGGCAGTACCAGCAGCAGCTGGAAGGCGCCCTGGAGATGCACGCCCTGTCCCGGGAACTGGACGGGGTCATGGAGAGGATTGGGGAGAAAGTAAGTAGCGGAGGGTCCCCTGCGCATGCGTATCCCAGGACTGCCACCAGCAGGTCACCTCTGCTCGTGAGCTGGGGCTCAGGGCCCCGTTGGGTCTCCCGGACTCTCCTGAGACATCGGCAGCTGACACGCAGCTTGCAGGCTGCGCCCCCCCCCCCGTGTCTTCCCTGTCCTGAGAGTGCAGAGGCGGCAGCCAGGCCGGACCCCATGGCAGGATTTGCCTCCGGGTGGCGTCGGCCACAGCACAGGTCGGTGAGCGCAGAGCTACCCGAGGCAGAAGTGGAGCCCCGCGCGGACAGCGCGGACGGTGTCCGGCTCCCGAGCACACACCGCAGCCAGGCCCTCTGCTTTTCTTCTGGAAGCGTGGCACACAGTGATGAAACACCCAAGGCCCTCCTCAGTCTTCCTCCACAGAGAGGGGTCCACGCGGGTGGTTGCTTTCCATGCGGGGGGCAGGGGGTGCTGGGCTTCTCCGTGCTGGCAGCTGCAGCTGAGGCCCCGGCCCGCAGGCAGCCGCCGCCCAGGCGCCGGTGTGCGAGGCGGATGCGGAGCGCGCGCAGAGGCTGCTGGGGACGCAGGAGACGCTGGAGCAGGAGGTGGAGCTCATGCAGGCGCAGGTGGAGGTGCGTGGCTGCGGCCCGGGCAGCTCCATGGGCGGCCCTTGGCACTGGGGGAGGAGCTTCAGGACTCTGGGCGCTGGGGTTTCCCATTACCAGGGCCTCCCCGGGGGCCCTGGAGGCCTCTGACCCCCGTCTTCCGCGCAGTCCCTGCAGGACAGAGTGGGTCGCCTCTGCGGGAGGAGCTGCGTGGCGGCCCAGAGCCTCAGCCGCAAGCAGCAGGAGCTGATGGGCGGCTGGCGGCGGCTCCGCAGCGAGGTCCGGAAGCGGTAGGAGCGCTCGGCCTCGTGCCCTCACCCACCCATCTGCGCCCTGCTCCCCGCACTTGTTTCCCCCCAAGAGTCGGCCATGTCACCATGAATTCCTGGCACCTGACCCGGGGGTGTTGAGAGATGAAGGGCCTGGAGGTGACCCCGGGGGAGGGCGGGTTGGTGCCTGGGGACAGGGACTTGGTGGCCCGGGGACTAGCTGATGAGCCCTGTGACCAGGAGGGAGTCCCTGGAGGCCCAGCACCAAGCTCAGAAGTTCCAGGCGTCTGTGCAGGCGCTGCAGGTGTGGTTCCGGGAGCTGTGGGCCGACATGAGTGCTCAGGGCGCCCCCTGCAGCCCCGAGGGAGCACTACGCATGCTGGAGGAGCACCGGGAATGCAAGGTGAGCAGCGAGGGGCGGGGACCCTCTCCACTTGCCCCCCACCTGTCCAGGTCTTTTCTGTCTCCTGCCCTCCTTTATTCTCTTCGGTCCCCCAACCATTGCCGGGATCTGAGCACAGCCCTGCCGCAGGTGGAGCTGGGGGTTCACATGGACAGCGCCAACGTGGTCCGAAGCACCGGGCAGCGACTGCTGGCCACCGGACACCCCCTGGCCGCTGGCATTCGCCAGGCCCTCGCTGCCTTGGAGCAGGAGCTGAGCAGCGTGCGGGGAGCCTGGCAGGAGCGCGAGCTGCAGCTGCAGCAGGCCCTGGCGCTGCAGGTTCGCGTCTCCCCACCGCCCAGAGCCCCGGGCAACGCCAGAGCCAGAGGGGATGCTTCGCGGGAGGCAGAAGCGTCACCCCTGCCTGAGCTCGCCCCGCCTCGCTCCTGCAGCTGTTCCTGCATTCTGTGGAGAAGGTGGAGCGCTGGCTGCGTAGCGAGGAAACCACCGCCGAGGGGCTCGGGGTAGGGGCCAGGAGGGAGCCAGCCTCGGGACGCCTCCCCTGCCCTGAGCACATCATCTCCCAACAGCTGCCCCCCCACACCCGGCTCAGGCCACGCAGGAGACCCCGGGCCTAGACAGAGCGGGGAGTGAACAGGGCTCACACTCAGCGCCCTCCTCGCCTCTGCCCTCCTCACCTCTGCCCTCCTCGCCTCTGCCCTCCTCGCCCTGCACACGGAGGTCGCTGCTCCCGTCTCTCGTGTACGAGCTGAGCAGAGCCGAGGGCATCTCAGAACTAGGGGCTCCCATGGTCTCACCAGCAGTGGGGAGCGCGTGGGAATTGACACGAGGCTCACACATAAATGTCACTGTCCTAGAGCCAGCCAGAAGCAGCCCGCGGGGCTTGGGCAATGGATTTGGGCCAGGCAGTTGGGTTGTAGGGGAGGGTTTGGGGGCAGGGGCGCAGCCCCATGATCAGCATTGGCTTCTCCCTCCTACTAGGACCCCTTGGCCAACTTGGAGAGCCTTGTGTGGAGGCACAGGCGGCTGGAGGAGGGCCTGCGAGCCCAGGAGGAAAAGATGACTGCTCTGGAGGCCGCTGCCCGCGGCCTGCACCAGGATGGACACCCGGAGGCCCCCAGCGCCTTGGCCAGATGCCAGGCGGTGCTTCTGAGGTGTGGATGGCTCTGGGGTGGCAAGCACTGGCAGTGACGTCCCTTGGGTGGAGGGTAGTGGCCTCCTGTGTCCCTCCATGGCTGTCCCTCTGGGGACATCTTACAAGATGCCCAATCCCAACCCCTCCAGTAACCCCATTTTACCTTAGTTACCTCTTTACAGACCTGTCTCTAGATGCGGTCACATTCTGGGGATCAATGTAAGACTTTGGGGGAACAAGCCAGGTCAGGTGGCTCATGCCTGTAATTCCAGCTAGTTCAGAGGCAGAGGTAGGACAATCATAGTTCCAGGCCTGCCTAGGCCAAAGAAGGAAAAAAATCAGTGCCACGGCTCGAAGAGCGATCGTGGGTGCTGCGCACAGCAACCCATCTGCATGGGAGTGCGCACAGGATCTCTGTCCAGGCAGCTCGGGAAGCTGTGCGTCCACTCTCCAGTGGTGAGCCCCAATTCAGCCTCTACCTGGCACTCACACAGAGGGGTAGGTGTCATTGTTTCTGGTGCAGGGCTAGGCACCCCACACTCCTCCATGTCCCAGGGGTGAGCCTGGCCCATGAGCCCCTCCTTCTGCAGGAAAGAAGCACTCGTGGAGCGAGCGAGGACTCAGGGCCTCTGGTTGGAGGAGCTGAGGCGGCTGCAGACCTTCCTGCAGGACTGCGACGAGGTTTCCCTGCGTGGGGTGGGAGCGTTGGGGGGGGCTTCCCTCCAGGGCACCGGAGTTGGAGGGAGCAGAGCTGACGCTTCCTGTGTGCTCAGGTGGCCGCGTGGCTGAGGGAGAAGAGCCTGGTAGCACTGGAGGAGGGGGGGCAGGACCCCGCCACGCTGCCGGTGCAGCTGGGGAAGCAGCAGAATCTGCAGGCCGAGCTGGATGCCAGCGCCCCCCTGCAACAGGAGCTGCAGACGGTGAGGCCCTGCGGGGCTGAGGGCCGGGAGGGGCACAGAGCCCGGGGCTGGCACCGCACTGCACAGCGCCGAGGGCTGACGGCCCAGCCTGTGCCCTCCGTGCGGGCTCCGCGCTGGCAGAGGCGGGACGTGCGGCTGCTTCCTGCATCCCCTCTCCAAAGGCAGAGCCTTTTCCATAACCACAGCTGCGCTCACACGCAGCAGTCCTGTGGGTGACCGGCCAACATCGCATCCACTTCACGTTCCCTCTCCACCTGCCAAGCCAGGCGGCCCGGCTAACGCCCGTTGGTTATTAAGCACTCTGCTCAGCACCCATGTGCCTTATGGCGTTGAACACATAATCATTATCGTCCTCGGAGGAGGAGAAAGAGGCACATAGAGATTTAGAAACTTGCTCTCAAGACTGCCGCAGCTACGGGGCGGTCTCTGGAGCGGGCACGCACCCTGGTGCCAGCAGCCCTGAGCCTAACGTGTGGGCCTTGGGCGCAGGAGGGGCGGAGGCTGCTGCAGGGCGGCTGCGCGAACCCCGAGGCGGTCAGGGAGCGGCTACAGGAGCTCAGGGAGCTGTGGGGTGAGCTGCAAGCCAGCTGCCAGAGGAAGGAGGCCCAGCTACAGGAGGCACGCGAGGTGAGGCTGTGGCGGCCAGGGACAGGTGCACGGGCTCCAGGCTCTCCCCCGGCGCTCACTCCCGCCCTGCCCCAGGCCCTGCACCTGCGGCGGAGCGTGGAGGAACTGGAGTGCTGGCTGGAGCCTGTGGAAGCGGAGCTGAGGGCCCCAGTCAGGGGCCGGGACCTGCCCGAAGTGGAGGAGCTCCTGCGGGCCCAGGCGGAGCTGGAGGCGGCCTTGGCCAGGCGGACGGGGCAGGCCCAGGCCCTGGTGCGGGAAGACCACCGCCTGGATGGAGCCACCGAGGAGCGGGCCCAGCAGCTGCTGCAGAGGTAGATCTGCCCTGGCTGCAGCAAGCTGCCCGCCCCCTCCACCCCTGCCCTCCCTACCCCTGTCCCCCCCTGCACCCCTGCTCCCCCCTGCACCCCTGTCCCCCCCTGCACCCCTGCCCCCCCTGCACCCCTGTCCCCCCTGCACCCCTGTCCCCCCTGCACCCCTGCCCCCCCCTGCACCCCTGCCCCCCCCTGCACCCCTGCCTCAGCTCCCAGCCTCCCTCCCGCCTGCAGTAGGGACTTAGGGTGGCATCACAGCCCCTCCACTATGGCAGGTTCCAGAACCTTCAAGAGGCTCTGCAGGAGCGCAGGACCCAGCTGGAGGCCCAGGACCTCCTCCTGCAGTTCCTCAGGGACGCTGACGAGGAGCTGGCCTGGGTGCGGGAGAAGCTGCCCCTGGCCACCACCCAAGACACTGGCCAGAGCCTGAGCGCCGTCCAGCACCTGCAGGAGAAACACCAGGTCGGTTGCACTGGGGGGTCGGGGCTCCCAGCTACGGGGTGGGGGGCGGGCGCTGGAGGCTTTGGAAGTCCCTTGAATTTCTGGGAGCCAGGGTGGGGGGCGCCGTGAGCGGCAGACCCAACTCAGGGCCCCGGGGTTCTCCCTGCGCAGAACCTGGAGTGTGAAATGAGCAGCCACGAGGCGCTGAGCCAGGTCGTGGTGGGCACGGGGCACAAGCTCCTGCAGGCCGGGCACTTTGCCGCCATGGAGGTGGCCGCGCGTGTGCAGCAGCTGGAGGAGGCCACGGCGCAGCTGCGGGCGGCGACCTCGCGGCGGAGGCTGGTGCTGCAGCAGGCCCGCGAGGCCCAGCAGTTCCTGACAGAGGTGGGACTGGGGGTGTGGGGGTGAGGGCTGGCTTGTGGGTGCTGGGGTTCCGGGCCTCCTGTCTGTCCTTGCTAGGCAGACTGTCCAGAAAGCAAGCCGCAAGGTCATTCTGTTTTTCTGTTTCTTCTAAGCAAGTTCTTAGCTGACCAGAATCGCTTGTTTGAACTGCAAAGGAAGGGCGAGCACTAACAGCGTAGGATAGGGACTAGGATGTGGTTTGATCGTCTTACGTGATGAAAAGAAAAGCCGTGCCTCAGAACAAGAAAGAGGGGTTTATTTTGCATGGAGGAAAAACCACCTGGAGCTTCATGTTAAAACCCGCTTGAGCTCGCGGCCCTTCGGGATCGCGGGCACTGCTGCGGGACGGGCTCGGGGAGCTGAGGAGCCTCCAAGCCCGAGGTCTGCATGGCAATCTGCGCCCGGGGGGTGGGAAAGCAGCACAGGGCCGTGCTCTCCTGTCCCCCAGCTCCTGGAGGCGGGGTCGTGGCTGGCGGAGAAGAGCCGTGCTCTGGACAGTGAGGACATGGGCCGGCACGCCGAAGCCACACAGGCCCTTCTGCGGCAGCTGGAGGCCATCAAGAGAGACCTGGAGGGGTTCAGCCAGCACGTGGAGCAGCTGCGGCAGACAGCTGCCCTCCTGGAGAGCAGACAGAACCCAGACAGGTAGGCTGGAGCCAAGGGTATCTCCCAGAGCTGGCTGAGGAAGGGCTCGGGGCCAGGCCATCTTCTGTGCTGCAGCCCCCGGGTGCAGGCCCAGCTCCAGGCGGTGACAGGGGCCCACGAGCGGCTGCTCCGGAGAGTGGAGGGCCGGGGCCGGGGCCTGCGGGAGCAGCTGCAGCGACACCGGCTGCAGCGGGAGACGCTGCTGCTCGATGCCTGGCTCACCACCATGCTGGCTGCCGCGGAGTCCCAGGACTGCGGGCAAGACCTGGACGGCGTCCAGGTGAGGCAGGGCGGCTTCCCGCACAGGGACAAGGTCCGGGATGCTGTGAGGTCATCTCCAGGGTGCAGGAGGCAGGGCCCCTCTCGAGCCTCTGGGCTCTGGCAGCCACTCCGGCCTCCTGCCCCGCGGCCCTGCAGGTGCTGCAAGAGAAGTTTGAAGCTTTCAGAAGCGAGGTCCGGAGCCTGGGGCAGGCCCTGTGGGAGCGGGCGGCCCCCCTGGAACAAGGAATATCAAGGTGCGACCCCCAGATTCAAGCCCAGAAGAGCAGGATCCAGGCCACTTGGGAGAGGCTGGAGCAGGCAATGGAAGCCCGCACCCAGGTAGAGGTCCAGGGAGGGGCGGGGCGGGGCGGGGCTGCGTCCAGCTCAGCAGCGAGAGGATGGAAGCCTCCCTCTCAGACCTTCAGCCCTCCAGTCCTCAGCTGAGCCAGAGACACATCACCCCGCCCCCCTCCACCTTTAGCCCTTCCTCCCGGCCCCTCCCTCCCCCCTTCCCCTTTCACTCAGCCTCACTGCAGAGCTGCCCAGTCCCCAGCCCGGGCAGTCGGACCTGCAGCAGGTGGTGCTGGCGGGGGGGGGGGGGGGGAAGGGCGGTCTCCAGAGCCTCAGAAGTGCTGCCTACGGGGCCTGGGTGGGCCCACACAGACCCCAAGAGGCCACCTGCTCCCCGGGGGTGGGGGAGTGGTCCCCCAGAGGGCAGGGGCTCCACTGGCCTCTCAGGAGAGGGGCCCTGAGCGCCCCTCACCACCTGGCACCACCCCCGACATGGCTCACCACCACACGGAGCCAGAGCCGGGAGAGGTTCTGAACCCAGGGCCGGGAGCCCGTCCTCCGTAAGGAGCTGGCCCCGGAGGCCACTGTCTTAGGGGAGTCTGAGCCCCAAGACAGTGGCGGAACTGAGCGCCGCGGTCCTCGCTCCCTTCCAGAGCCTGGCTGCAGCGCGTGAGGTGTGTGGCTTGGAGCAGGCCGCACGCCAGCTGCAGGGCTGGGTGCAGGAGAAGCACGCCCAGCTGGAGCCCGCCCGTGGCAGAGGCCTGCAGCCCGCCCCGCAGCGGCAGCGGCGCCTGCAGGTGCGGCCTTGCTTTGGGCTCGCCCCCCATCCATACCAGGCCCGCCTGCTAAAGGCCATAGACCAAGGCCTTGCATTTAGGGGCTGCTTGGCGCCCCCCAGAATCCCAGCCCTCTCCCCTCCGGGCCCAGGGTCTTGGGCCTAGGCGTGGGGTCACAGGAGTTACCTTGTGTCCCGGGACAGAGGGAACTGGAGGCTATCGGAAAGGAGGTGGCGCGGATCCAGATGGACGCCCGCCGCCTGGGCCAGAAGCACCCCGCCGCCCAGGACAGGCTGACCACGCAGCTGGCCACGCTGCGGGGCGCCTGGGCCTCCCTGCAGGCCGAGGCCCGGGAGCGGGGCCGGCGGCTGGAGCAGGCGGCCCAGGGCCAGGCCTTCCTCACTCGCTGCCAGGAGCTGCTGTAGGTGGTGGTCGGGTCAGGGTGACGGGGCCGTCCCGGGCACCCCCGGCTGCTCTGCACCCCTGCCCAGCAGCTTCGTCCTTCCCCGCCCCGCAGAGCGTGGACTGAGGAGAGGCAGGCCCTGGTGTCGTCCGCGGAGCTGGCTGGAGACATGGCGGGAGCCGAGCAGCTGCTGGGGCAGCAGGAGGAGCTGGAGCGCGGACTCCAGGAGCGCTGCCTCCAAGCCCAGAACATTCGGCAGGAAGGGCAGCAGCTGATGGACAGCGGCCACTTCCTGTCCTCAGAGGTGAGCGCACAGTTGTCCACAGCCCTGGGACTCGCAGCAGAGGGGAGGCGAGGGGGGGCGCGAGTCCCGGCCGCGCCCTCCTCGGCCCCTCTCCGCCAGGTGGCAGAGCACGTGCGGGAGCTGGACACGCGGCTGCGGGG